CAGTACAATTCAATATTTTCATTATTTATTTGGATAATGGAGTGGAAAGCATGCTTATAAAAGTTGTGAATGACACCAAGCTCAGAGGAGTTGTAAGCACTTTGGAGGACACAATTAAAATTCTAAAGAACCTCCATCTATGAGGAACAATTAAGAAACTGAGCATGTTTAGTCTTGAGGGGCTTTTATAAAGAGGAACGTGATCAGCTGATCTCAATTCCCAGTGAAAGTGGGCTTTGGAATTGTCATCACTGGAGGTTTTAAAGAACAAGTTAGAAAACTGCATTAAATCTGTTTATCTTGAATTAGATTGTCATAAACAGGGATGCGCATCAGCAACCAGGTTGCCTCGAGCAACAACAGGATGTTAAAGCTCTTTTGTTCTAGGTATAGAAAATAGAGGTATTCTCATATGACTGGTTCATCACATCATAGAGATGTTTCTTCATTTGTCTTAGATGCTTCCAGCTCTAGTGGACCTACTGATTTGTCACCATCCAAAGAAATTAAAATTAGCAATGTGAAACTTTAAGGCCTGATCCTCCTTCTGTTCAGCAATCCTTTGTGACTAGTGGATGCTTTTCTTTAATCAATTAATTTATGTCCAAAATCTACAATCAACTAACTCCATGTGCAGATTTCAACCTCTGAGGCTCTCAAATTTACTAGATGCAGACAGTGAAGATCTTCACATCTCAAGATACACCAAGGCGATTGCAAAGTTTCAGCCATAAACTAAGTAGCTTGTTGGAATTTAAATTTATTTCTCCCCTCATTGATGGAGGTTTCACATGAACCACTGTGTAAAGTTGCTGGGTTTTTTTCACTTTTAATGAAAATCACATTTTCAGAAACCACGTGAAATAGTTTCAATTCAGGACTGGTTTCTTTATTTTCTTTTAAATTGGTTACTCTTCTTCAAAGCCCAAGAGTTTCTCCCTAAAATAATCTTATCTTTATATATTATTCACTATTTGCTTATCCCATTATTTGCATAAGCCTTTTTCTTCCTAAGGACACTGAAGTTTCACTCCCTAGATATGAGAAGGGCCTTAAAATATAATCTAGAAATGATAGATGCCTTTTCAAAATAAGATACTTTATTTCTGGTATATACTGGTGAAAAAAGGCAACAGAATATATAAAGTAATCATATGCAAATTAGTTAGAGCAATTTATTATTAAAGAAAAGCAGATAAGGACAAGAACATTAGAATGGCCATAGTAGGTCAGACCAGTGGTCCATCTAGACCAGTTTCCTGTCTATTGACAGTGACCAAAACTGGATGCTTTGAAGAGAAAGAACATAATATGCCAGTTTACTGAGTGGTCCATATCTGATTGTCCACTCCCAGCTTCTGGCAGTCAGAGGCTTAGGACACTCAGAATATGGGGCTGCATCTTTGACCATCTTGGCTAATAGCCATTGATGGACTGTCCTCCATGCACTTATTTTCTGAACCGAGTGATAATTTTGACCTTCACAATATCTCCTGACAACAAGTTCCACAGGTTGACTGTTCATTGTGTGAACTAATATTTCCTTTTAAGCTTGCTATCCATTAATTTCATTTGGTGACATCTAGTTTTTGTGTTTTGTGAAGGGGTAATTTTTCCTTATTAACGTTCTCCATGCCATTTACTATAACCCTCCTTACTTGTCTCTTTCCAAATAGAACAATTAGGGTGCTTCTACGCTGCCCTGTAGGTCGAAATGAGACATGCAATCTGAGCTACGCAAATTGCGCGTCTTGTTTTGATGTTATTTCAGAATAGCTTATTTTGAAATTTGGCACTGTCTACACAGCACTTATTTCAAAATTAATTGCTATTCCAAAACATCCCTTACTCATCTTGGAATGAGGTTTAAAGGGATGTCGGAATAGCAAACCTGTTATATTTCGAAGTAATGGGCTTGCTGTGAAGACGCGAGAGCTATTTCAGGATATTCCGGTATCCTGAAATAGCGCTGCAGTATAGATGTAGCCTTATAGTTCTCTCCTCATGTGGAAACTGTTCCATCCCCTAATTAAGCCCCTAGCCTAATGTAGACTACCTCAGCCCAAATTATGACAGTATCCGTGGTCAGCCCTCTGTGCCACAGTGCGGCCCATAATCTCTGCAGTGTTGAATTTCCCCTAATAATTTTTATTGGCATTCTTGGTACTTTTTCCGATTCTAATATATGTTTTTGAGATCGGGCAGCCAGAACTGCATGCAGTATTCAAGGTGAGAGCATTCCATTAATTTATACAGGCAGTCCCCGGGTTACGTACAAGATAGGGACTGTAGGTTTGTTCTTAAGTTGAATCTGTATGTAAGTCGGAACTGGCGTCAGCCGCTGCTGAAACTGATCAGCCCCGGCAGCCCAGGGAGACGGGGAGCAAAGCCTTGGAGCACGCCCGCAGCGGGACACCCAGGGCGAACTTGGGCTGTCCCCCTGCGGGCGTGCTCAGCGGCTTTGCTCTCCGTCTCCCTGGTCTGTAGGGAGATGGGGATCAAAGCCTTGGAGCACGC